GTTCGCGGGTCACTCCCTCAGTCAACACGAGGCCTCAGAGTCCACACGCAGTCGATTGGATGCGTTTCATCACACCCACTATTCATCAGAGCAGTGCGGCCGACGGCAAGAAAACGCCGGACCCATTAGTGCAACTATGACAATCGGCCACCACGCGATCGCGAAGGCCGCGGCCCTGCGTGATCTTTTTCAATCCAGCCGATATCTTTTCTCTCAGGAATGATCAAAAAACAAACAAATGAATGCTACTGAGGTAAATGTTGCACTCTGAGGGCTGGTGGGTGTTAACACACCGGGATGTGTCGGATGGTGCTGCAGGTTGCGTCTCATTCCAACGCAGTCTCACGGCGAAACGTTGTGGGCCAACGAAGCATCGTCGCGCTTTTTGGGGAGAAGGCGTGACAATGCAACGTTTCGTCTGCAACCAGGTCACGTGACCGTCAAATGGCGGACTGTCGGGCCTGTTATCTGTGAAAGGCACTATACTTTAAGAAAGCATCAGCATTTGTATGCATTTCGATGGCATTTCTAGCGAGAAGTATGCGTTATATTTTCATAATCTTCCATCAGAGAACGTAGAAGACCTTCCGTTTATTAGTTTCTAGTGACGTAGTTGCAAGGTAATGTAAATGAACGGGCCAAAATAAAACGTAAAACGTAGTATTGTCACGATTTTGGGGCGAAAGCGCGAGAACGCCACGTTCCGCAACGCAGCCGTGAACACGTTGCGCCGTGAGACCGGGTTTCTTATTCAGCGTTCGGTTGAAAGCAACTTGAGTCACTTGTGGTTGCAAAGCAACGACGAGGCCACCTTCAAACTGCCCGCCGCCTGCTTTGAAACCACAAAACATCTCCGTGACTTTGTCCACTTCCTATGCAGCGCGTGTTCCCGTGTGTCGGGGCGTGTGGCTCCACATCAGTCGATCCACCTTCACGGATTAAAACTCACGTGTCCCAAAAACACCTTTTTCTTTCATAGCGGCTCTGACACGCCAACGGAATTCAGGCCCTTTCACGACACTGCTTCTCACGCTGCCTACTGACTTCAGTCCAACACCGCCCGCTTTGCACCCGTGGCGTGGAAGTCCAGAAGCGGCTTTCCTCGGGACTGTGAGGAAAACAACACACCCCCCCCCCCCGGAGGAACATTAGCCAGAAAAGCAAACAAACGATCTCCATGCAGCCGCTAAGCAGCTCTGAAACAGGGCCCTCTCACGGCGAGGCTGAAGCGCCGCCCTTGCGACGAAAAGAGAAAGTCGATATGTGACATATTGCTGTGACACGTGGGCAGCGAGGGAGACCTCCATCGCCGTCGTGCATCCTTGACTTTGTTCCATTCTCAGCATTGTTTTACCTGCTTTCATCAGACGCTTGTTACTGCTGGCAGCACATGCGGCAGGTGAGCCAAAGCGATACCTCACCTGATGGAACAGTGACACGCTGCTGTGACTCGGGCCCAACTGGCATTCAGATAGAGTCGCATCATTGAAGTTATCTTGCGATTCGATCAGATGTTTTGCAGTGAAAGCTGATTGTGGGCAAGAAAGAGAGATTTGAAGCCCAGACGTGTCCCCACAATAAATCCAGTTGTTCTATTTGCTCCACGCAGGTGTTTTAGAGGTGTTTCCTCAATAGAAGGTCCTGTGATTAACGAAGTCGAGGGCGTTGATTGTGTCCTCGTCTGCCCTGCGGCTATGAACACAGCGCTGAGAGGCAGAAGAATGCAGCGCGCCCAGTGTCACATGTCATGTTGCCCTTTTTGTTTTATCCTTTTGTCTCCTTTCAAGTCCTTCTGCGAACATAAGAAACACAAATATCACAACTGAGAAAATGTCACGTGGACGTACAGGTTTTGCTTGTTCCAAGTAGCAGCGTGTTCTCGTGGGAAATCCTCCATACCAAGTTACTTACATTCAGTTTTCAATTCCATGAAATGCAGAGTGGATGTCGGAAATGTTTCCATTTGCATTACTGAGATCCGAATTTGCGACGCCTGTTTGTGTCTTTTTATGAACCTGAGAAGGAGCAACAGGCCCCTAGCAAGAGTCTATCTGTTAATCTGCACGCAGATGACATCACCTGCACACCGTCCTTTAATCCAGCTTTGCGTAGCTTCTATGCAGATTCACGGAAAAACTGAGAGAAATATCAATTTACATCAAATACCAACCTGCTTGATTATAGCCACTAAAAGCCAAACCTGTTTCAACCTGGAGTCACGGTACACGATGTTCTTTTTTTATCCAGCTGAAATATGCGTGAGCTCATGATGGTAACGTTCCATTGGAGATTGGGTTCAAGCCAAATGATGTTCAACTGCGTCAGCCTACTTCAGCAAGTAGAAATGGGAAAGACACGAATCTGCTTTGTGTCTTATATTAAGAAAAAGCAAAACTAGGATTGATTTTAATGAGCTGAGCTCATGGATGGAGCGCGGAAACGTGATTAATGCAAACTTCAAACGCGAGTGCTTCGTGCTAAAAAGGCTTTGGGTGTACAATCATTTCAATGCAATTCTTCGAAGTGCAATTGTGTGCTTAACAGACGCAAAGTGGCCCGGGCCCGTTTCTAGACGTGTTATTAAAACTCACTCATCAAAAACAAGACAGACAGACAGATCGAGTTCTGTGGCTCCGGCCTGTCCTCCTACTCGCCGCTCAAATCATCGGCTGAATCAACAAAAGAATTCTGGCTGAAGTGCCTGTCGGACAAAAGCTTCTTAGAAGCCACTTGCGTCGTGAGTCATTCGGCTCAAAGTTCAAATCCTTAGAGGCCACATTACGGAACCGAAGGCTCTACGGAGGCTCACAAAACGCCTCATTTGGCTTTTAATGAACACACATTCAGCTTTGGGGGCAGCATCTTCTGTCAGGTTGCAGAGCAGCCAGTTGAACCGCCCGCTTCCTCGTTACATCAGCGCCGTTTGTTTAACGCCAATCTTCCGTGACTGTATTCTCCAACCGGGAAACGTAAGCGTATTGCATATTCATGCACACAAACGACTTTGCTCAAGTCCCCGCGACAGGTATTTTTCTCGGAGGGGGGGTGTTTCTGGGAATGTGTTTGGCCGCCTTGATTAATCTTTTATTTCGGCTTCACCCCCCCCCGGGGCACAAATGAAAACGAGACTGGGGAAATACAGGAAAAAACAATAGTTACCTAAGAACGAACGGGAAGGAACGTGATAAACCTTCATTTACTGAAAATAAATACATTATTACCCTGTTATTGCGCAACTACTCCTCAACACAGCTGGAATGTTCCACTGTGGTATAATTATGCTCGGCTAATGTGTAGGCCAGCCAGTAAAACCCCCTAAACCGGCTCATGAGGGTTATGTTTCTATATTATAGCCCCAGATTCCATCTTCTCACGGTTTACAATCACGCGGAGGCCTCCGGTTTAACAGCAGTAAACTGACGCCACCAGACAATAACGCCTCAGTAATGTGCTAAATGTCCCAATCAGGTGTGGCAGGTGCGTCGCAACCTGTCACACAAAGGTTCCCCGTTATGTGGAGAGTCTTTGGACGGGATGTGCCGATGAAGTGGTTGTCAAAATAAACCAATAGAACCACGCAAACTACTTTGTGAGCGATTCAATGCGATGCACAAAAGGAAAATTGTTCATGAAATGAGTAATGAAAGGGCTCGCTCGCCATTCTCCAACATAAAGTCATTGAAAGAGACGCTTGCCAACCAGGAAGAGTCACAAAGTGGACACAAAGGAACGGAACCTCTCCACGAGACACAAAATGAATACAAATCATCTACAAAAACACACAAAAGCACCAGAGAGACACACAAAGCCAGAACGAGACACAAACCGAACTACAAATGAAACAGTAAAATGAACTCAGAGACACAAAGTCGCAACAAAGGGGTGAAAATAAAACCACGACAAAGCACTAAACAACACAAAAGCGAATCATATGTGTGTGTGTGTGTGTGTGTGTGTGTGTCTGTGATCAGGGGACCCACGTTCCCTCAGACTGCTTCCAGACCAGAAGGTGCACCGAGTTCAAAATGTCCTCATCCAGAGAGCCGCCCAGCGCAGGAATCAGTGTCATGTCATCCCGCCGCCTGCAGCGGGCGCGTGCGCTCTCGCAGCGATGTTGTGCGCGTGGTCGGACTCGGGCGACATTTGAGCAGACGGACTGTTTCTGTTTGACACGTCGGGCTCGTGGTCCTTTGTCAAAGCACGTTGGAAGAATTCATTCCTGTGCGCTTTGGCTAAATAAGCGCGTTTATTGCATCGCAGCACTGACTCTCTCTTTTCATCGAACTGCTTTTCTGACACATTCTGTCCGATTGTGACGTTTGATGTTTCTATTTCATCTCTAATAAACACTGGGCTGCTGTCATTGCCACGGCTAACGCTTTATCGCATGCCGAGCTTGCTGCAACACGCAGGCAAATGCACAATCTTGGCAACGTTTGCATGTGTTTGTGTGCACATGAGAGTGTCTTACTTAGGATCATGTCCGACGTGCTAATTTCCCAGCTAATTGAACGCAGTGAAACTGTTCTTTAAGTTGCCACGGCCTCGGGGGAACTTTATCAGCATGACTCAATGATTTCTTTTGTTGGGACGAGGACACGCGGTGGTGAACACACCACAAATTTAAGATCACGACGATCTTCAACGATTATTGTTGTGTTATTAAATCCATTCTGGTTTCCTGATCACACGTGAGGAGTTTTTAGTTGACTGTTTTTAGTTGACTGCAGAGATCCAACTTGTATTTGTCGCTGCGCAATTGTGCGTGCGCTTGTGTTTGTGTGCCTGTGTGTGTGTGTGTGTGCGTGTCATTGTGTTTGCGCGTGCAGTTGAGGGGGACAATACTTCGCCTGAAGCCCTCCAGGTGATTTTCCTTCCCCTCTCTCTGCGTCCCAGGTGAGTTCCGCTTCAATCCACGCAGCTCATTGGACAGGAGACTCTCGCCGGGCTCTGATTGGCTGCGCTCCGCTGCAGGCTCCGCACTTCATCTCAGGTAAAACCTACCTGCGGGCCAGAAGAGAGGGGAGGGCCGAGGAATAACCGCGTGGCATTCCGCACAAACTGACGCCGCATTCTGTCGCAGCACACCTGTGTGTGCTTTTTTTTCCGCCGCAACTCACGAGAAGACGAGACAGCGTCCCGATGGCAGCGAGGGTTGGACTGGCCATGAATCCGCCGCACACGACGGACGAGAGGGCGGTTTTCACGCAGCTGAAGCCCGTGAGGATGCCCGCGGCGGACGGCGCCGACGAGGCGTCCGTGTTTGAGGACGTCAAACCTGGGGTGAGAGTCACCGCCGACCCGCTGAGGACGGCCCGCCTTTTTTCACCTCTAAACTTTGAAACCCCGGGTTGCCACGTTAGGACAGGACCGCGTTGTAATAAGCGTGTAATTACCACCGAGAGGCATGTTGGTTGTCGGGTCTGTGGAAGCAAGCGGCTCACCTGTGTCAGGGAGGCGGGTTAAAGTCCTCCACCTGAAAACGCAGGTAAGGTTCACCCGAAAGCTGCGGAGCGACTTGTGGCTGCTGGTCGACACAAACCATTCACATGTAACCTTCTTCCAGTAGTAATGACGATGCTATTGATCTGTTGATACTTATTTTAATCAAACACACACCAATAAAGCACTAACATTGATTGTATTATTTTAATAATTTAGTTGTGTGCTGTTTTTTAAAAAAAAAAATTGGACTATTACACAAACACACTAAGCTCGTTCAAAGGGAGGTTCATTATCCAAAGCATCAATGCATTATATAGATGGACATTTCATCACATTTAAAATCGCAAAAGAGTTCAAATAGAGCAATTCGCTTAGGAAATGCAAGAAGAAAAGTCAAGTAAGAAAAGAACAGCAATTTGATTTAATTCAAGGCGGCAGCAAAGAGAAAAGTGATTCAACAGCAGACGCGTGTGGTTTCCTCGAAGTGATGGTGACAGTCGCTCTCTCTGCCTCGCAGCGGCTGTCAGCGGATGTGATCACGTGACGCAGACGCAAGTTCTATTTGATAAAACTCCGGCAAAATGGCCTCCTCTCCGCCCGCCGTTGCATTCCTCTGTAGATCTGCAGAAGATAATCAGGGAACGCTCCGATGCCAGATACGTGGCGGGGCGATTCGGGCAGCACCTCGAGTCATGAAACGCGCTGAAAAGAGTCAAAGGCGAATCCTCTGCGGGGCGGCTGTGGATTTGTGCGTGGTCACAACAGCGACCAGGAGCCTCGGCGCGGTTGTTGTTTGGTAAACGGACCCGAGGCTCCTCACACAGGAGCACCGGCGCAGAGCTTCGGGAGGTGAAGGGTGTTCGCTTTAGAGGCGGACGCAGTTATTTGTTAGTGGACCGACTGTTTTGGAGACCGTCGCCATCTTGGATTACGGCCGTGGCCACGTTGTCTTGTTTCTTAACGAATTATCAAGAATAATCATATTTGAGGAATCAACCTGTCAATCAATCACAATGTAGCCCCACCCTATAGCATACCCTGCTTTATGTGGTATTTTACTATAAATCTTCCAAACTTTACTAAATAAATGTCATGCTGTATTGAAGAAGATTAAACTACAGGTCGAGTCCATAAACTCATGTTTACATGTCTGCTGAGGGAATAAATCCAGAGAGAAGTAGTCATTATTTGAGTCTACTATAGGACCAGAGGAGTCGTCCCCTGGTAGACAGCAGAGGTAATGCAGCTTGAGGACGAATGTTGTATTATATAACATATGTATGAAATGTACCAGCATTGAGCTGGCCTGGAGGTGGTCGCTGGGGTAGAATGAAAACATGCCGGGCCTGTTCAGAACCAACTTGCATTGCCAACGGAGCATTGGAATCTGGCGAATGTCGTCTCATTGCAGAGCAGAGTGACTCAGTCATTATATTCTAGCGACGCGTTTCGCCTTGTGAGACACAATGACACTGAATGGGATTCACCTTTAAGTTGATAGTTTATTACTTCCTTTCATAAAAGCACAACAAGTCTTATCCTCTCGTTTCTCCCGTGTGACCTTAAACAGACCATGTACCTTCTCCGCCCATCTTGCTGCAGATGGAACGACGGGTCATAAACAGAGAAGTGTTCTACGGCACAAGAGACCCGGATTGTGGGATTCCATGAATCGCCTTGTAATGAAGTGGAAAACCTCAACAGGTCTTTTAAGTCGTCAATCATTCACAAGAGCATCATGAGTCAAAACGTGGTCTTGTTTGCGTGACAGTCCCCTGACAGTCCACTTACAGGGACGCACTGTTGACACGTAGAAGAACATCACACGATGCGGCGTCTCGGAGAGGACGACGCGGTTAAAGCCGTTTCCTCTCTTTTCCGTCTCGTTGCTCCAGCTTCACGTTATGCAAAGCACGACTTTGTCGGGGACAAAGGAATCAGCTTGACTGAAATAGTCGCCCCCGTGAGGCAAATTAAAGCCCAGCCGCGAGCTGGAGGCGGTTCACCTTACGTGCCCCGGTTCACCGTGACTTTTGCAGGAAGACGGCTTCTCGATGCACATTCCTCGCGGCTTTCGCTGTACATTTCACCCGCTCCCTTCGGCGGACTATGACTCTGCGTCAAACGCGGGTTTTGCCACTCAAGCAGAGCACCAGAAAGAGTTCTGGGTGAAGGCCGGTTTTCTTTGTGTCATTGTGTTGGTGTTTTTTAATGGAGCCGGTTGCCGTGACAGCAGTATGTTGCGCGACCTGTCTGAGCAGAGCCCGTCTCCACAGGTCGCCTGCAGGCTGGAAGGTGGGATGATGAAGGGTCCGACCTCCTTGAGCAAAGTCAAAGCAGAAGGCCGAGGCTCGTCAAACACGCCGGTTCCCCTCGAGCGTCTGTGTGATTCCTTTTGTCGCCGACGAGGTCGTCACCAGATGAACTCGCTGATCTTTTTCGCCGCCGTTGAAGTTTTCCCTTCACTTGTTTGTTATTTTCTTTAAAGATAAAAGAAAGTATTTCTGGTAACAAGCCGTAGACTCAGCATTGACATTACGACCTTTTAGCTCATGTTATGGTCTCCACCAGCAGATATCTGAAGCCGAAGCTGCTTTTTCTTGCCACGTCGACATTTTGCCCTCTCAGCGTTTGTTGTGTGCAGTCGAGTAGAATTGTAATATGTTAATGGTATTAACGAAAGAAGCGGATGAGTTCGGCGATGTGATTCTTCGAAGAGGTCAGTGTTTACGTTTAGTTTCAGGTGTTTCAGCAGACGTCACCTAGACTTCACCGTTCCACGAAGGGAGGTTTAGTATTTTAGTCTAAAAAGTATCAGAAAATAGTAGTAAAGTACAGACCCTAATGGAAAAACATCTTTGGTCCAAATCTTAAGATTTCCTGTGCTAAAGCTTGACGGCCTTTAGAACTTACATTAAAGACGTGTGAGTCATAAGGAAAATACAAAAGAAACTTATTGACTTTACTTATTTTTGTCTTCCAAGCAGCGCGTGTGTCATTCTGAAATCAATCTGCTCATGAACCTCAGCAGTAATGAACCTCAGCAGTAATGGCACAATAAGTAACTGATATGAAACCTATTTCAGGATTCTTCTGTAGTGAAATCACCAGTAGGTGTTCCCGTGCTAGACTGAGCGTAGACGGGAGAAGTTACAGAGTAACTTTGTGGCGTTCACATCAAGAGTGTGTTGGCAGTCACGCATAATGATTCCTGAAGATCAATACTCCGATATGGTTTAGATCGGTATCCAGTTTTGTTCTTTTAACGTCAGGCGACTGTACGGGGGTGGGGGGGGCTCCTCTTGTCTGCCTCCATGTTCCGCCGCGTGTTCCCGTCACCGCGGCCTTCCGTTGGTCCGTGTTGCCGAACGTCTCTTCCAGGAACCTCGTTGACGCCGGATGTTTTCTCAGGCGGCCGAAGGCTGAAATGCTTCTGGTTTGACTAACGATTTGACTTCCCGGAGCAACGCGCGCGGCGGACGCTTTGCATCTGAGCACGTGTGTCTTCCCGACGCGGGCCGCGGGGCCGCCGCGCACACCGGCCCTTTATTTCAGGAAACGGACCCTTCCTGGGGACAAAACACTTGGGAGAATGGACCTAGTTTGGGGGTCCAGCTTCCTTTTAAACCCTTCCGTTCATGTACTAAAGAATCTTCTGAGAGGGACTTTTCAGGAAGCCAGCAGTCGGTCGATGACGTCATCCGTACCCATCGCGGCTCAACCCTTTCCCGGCGGCTGCGGTTGGCGCACATCTACCCAGAGCTGCAAAATCTCTTTTAACGACTCGCCATGTTTACCTTTCATCCGTCTGGGAAAACGATGTAAATCGCTCGGGTGGCTAAACAAAAGGGGGAAAGTCTGACTGAGCGGTCAGACTGTTTGCTTTCATTCAACCCTTCTGTACTAAGACGATCACCTCCGTGTGAGTCCGACACACTTAGACGTGGTTTAACTAAAATGGAGGTAGATGTCAATGTTTGTAGTACGTATGTCAAAGGAAGAAATGTAATAAAGTTATTCACAAGATCAGGAAGAACGCTCGTCGTCTCTACCAGCAGATTTTGGAAACTGGGGGGTGAAAACACAGTTTAGTCATCTTGAAGACTGATAACGAGAGGAGACGTTTTTGCCATAAATGAGACGAGAGTTCTATTGGCATGCATGTCGGATTGGTTGAAAGTGTGGAAACTCCCACTGGATCCCATAAACCTGAACACAACTGATAAGAGGCCGTTTGTTATCAGGCAGAAGGATTCATAGCGGAGCACTTGTCCATGTTCTCCAATTATTAACCAAGTCTTAGCCCCGAGACGTTCTCCCTGTTTACCGTGTAAAATCATACAAAGACATTTTGAATCGTAGTTCATCGACTAGCTGCCTTTGAGGTCGCCGGGCCTCTTGTGTAACGCCTCTGCGATCGTTAACGGAACTCACGAGGCTCTTCCCGAAAATACTTGAAGGACAAATGCAAAATAGACACTCTGTTGTTTTGGGAATTGAAGGATCTCCGCTCAGCCGTCAGAAGGTTGTGAGGTTCTGACCCCTTTGTCTCTGCGAGAAGGAAGGAGGTGGGGTCACTTCAGGGGAACCTCGTAAATCGTCTTCGTTTCTTCTGGTTCGCACGGTTATTTGTGCATTCATCTTATTTCCTGACTAATTCGCGACCTGAGAATGTATGAAAGTATATCTGCAGATTAGAGATGGAGGGACGAGGCCTTTTCCGGGTTCGGGTTTCTTTGGTGGGGAGCAGCTCTGGCTGATAGAGGTTATGCACCCAGTTGGTTTAGGCCTCTTTATTGTTCTCGATTATTATCCCCTTTTTTCCTGCGATATCTGCATTTTCTCATGAAGTCCGAGTGTGTTTTCCTGATCATCGGCTTCTCAGAATCCGCTCAGATTTCCCCGTCAGATAATCCGCCCGCGTCGGAGGCGGCTTCATAGTCCTCCGCTCACTTTCCTTCCTCGCTTGTCTCTTTTGTTTGCCCTCGTTTCCTTCTCGTTATCTCATTTTGCTTGTATCTCTCCTCCCTCCAGGTCCTCTCCACAGCGATGTCACTGTGACCATCCGATTCTTTCTTTTTTCGTTGTCTGGCGGGTCTATTTTTAAGTCTCCTTCAGCCTTTGTTTGGGTTTTTGTCTTCTTCACGCGTCAAAAGGCTTCCATCGACCACACCCACACAGGGAACTCTCTGTCTGGGTGTTTGTCTGTAGCAGAACGTACGTGTGTGTGTGTTGGTAAGTTTGTGTGCATTTGGGCGTGGATGCCTTGGTTTGTTTTAATTCGTGCAAACTTATTTGTTTGTGTGTGTGTGTGTGTGTGTGTGTGGTCTCCGCGGCACAGATTTTTTACGTAACGGCTGTTTCATTTCTAAAGAAGTGTCTCTGTGCTTCACTGACTCTGAATGACACACACACACACACACACACACACACACACACACAGCAGTTTATCAGGATTAAGATCGTCCTAAAGGAAGAGGAAAATACCTGCTATTTATTTTCTCGAATGCTTCTCTGCCTGTCTGGTCTTGTTGCTTGACGGCTTTTTTTTTTTTTCTGTGTTTCCACACATTTGTCACCCGTCACACACAAGTGGGTGGGATCGGGTTTGATTGACAGTCTCCCCGGTAACGAAGGTAAACAACTGTCTTCAGATTCGGCTTCTCACGCGGCCGCGCTGTTTACAAACAAGTGAGAAGAGCAGAAGAGTATTTTTGACAAAATGTCATTTGGATTTTTTATTAGTTCATCATTTTTGATCAAGAGTTGCTCAAATCTACGTGAACGCATCATATGATTTTTGTCGAGTGTAAATTTCCCCCGCGGCAGCATTTGTTCGATTTTTACCGAAATGACTAAATCAAAATGATTTCTGTTGATCAACAAACATATTAAATGAATTATCGTTGCAGCTCTAGAATGAGAGCTTTAAACGTTTTTATATATCGGCCTCACATCTCGCCAATGAACTGCAATAAAAACCCCAAACAGTCCCCCGATGAACTGATCTCGGGATAAGGGAGCAGCTGACAAGTGACATATTGCAGCCCGGAGGCGAAGGGAGGCACACTCATGTTAGCGGAGGTGGATTCTCTCGTGGGTGTCCCTCTTGAGTCGGTGCTTTTGGCTGATTGTCAGGGCAGTGAGCTCCACTGGGAAGCAGGAATGTGAGGTATGAAGGAGGAGGAAGTCCTGGTACCAACTTCTCTCAAATCTTTAGTTCATTCTCTCTCACCTTTCCCCTCTCTCTCTGTCCTACTTACAGTATGTGACTTCATACCAACCGGTGAAAGTGGGACATGCCGCATCCACCTTATCACCAAATAATTCCAGCAGTTAAACAAAAACTCTCTGTTTTGAACAAATATTTTGCCGAGCAGTCTCTGCTGTTTCCACAGTGAGAGGAAATAACGAAGGACGATGAAAGGAATCTCGTTTAACGTCGTCTCTCCTTTGTTTCTTTTCAGGTTCAATTAGATCTGGACAAATATCTCCCCCAGGGTAACAATCCCCTCCTGACCAACCTGATGGATTCCGTCGACAAGAAGTACAGACGAGACAGCGCCTCCGTGGTGGACGAGTTCTTCTCCGAGGACAAGAGCCCCACGCCCTACAGCCTCAACATCAACTTCATCCTTCCCAGCACCACCCACCTCCGCACGGGCCTCTACCGCCACACCGCCAAGACCCTCGCGCCGCAGCAGATCAAGACGGAGCCCGGGCTGGAGGTGCCCTGCTCCATCTCCGCCGCCTCCAGCACGCAGGCCCTGCCGGACTTCACCTCCGTCTTCAGCTTGCCGCCCGTGGTCAACAACGTGTTCATCAAGCCGGACATGAGCTCCGGCGAGGGGATGGGTGTCCACGCGGGGTCCCAGCACCAGCACCAGCCACACCTGGACACGGATCTTCACATCGGGCCGCCGGGCCCCCAACCGCAGGTCTACCACATGCCCATCTCCGGCTGCGCCGACCTCACCATGACCCTTTCGCACAGCAGCCCGTCGGCGCACGCCTCCACGAGCGGCCGGACCATGTTGAACCTGTGCAACGTTTCGTCGCCGGCCGCCAGCGGCAACTACATGATGGCGGAGCACCAGCTTCAGCAGCACCACGGTTACTACCAAGCCTCGCCGACCAACTCCTCCGAGCACGCGGCGCCCCACAGCCTGCCGCCGTCGCCGCCCAACTCCCAGCCGGGCAGCCCGGACGGTCACGCGGAGCTGCACAGGTTAGCGCCGCAGCTCCCGCCGCCGTACCAGCACCGCCTGGACGGGATAAAGGTGACCGGGCTGTCCCCGCACGCCATGCTGATGACGCACGGACAGGGCGTCCTGACGGGTCCCAAATACAACAGGCGGAACAACCCGGAGCTGGAGAAGAGGAGGATCCACTTCTGTGACTACACAGGTCGGTGTTTCCCCCGAAGTGAGCTGTAGTATATAGAACGTTTTTTGAGGATCGCATGTTCTCCCCTCGTCGGCGTCGATTGTCTCCGGCTCCTCGGCGTGCAGCTTAGGTTGGTTGATTGTTAAAGATGACGGATGCGTGGACAGTTAAACTATAAGGAATAATATAGAGTTGGATGATATTGGATGCTTTCTTACCCCTCAGTTGAGCCTCGTTTCTTTCTGTTTTTTTCTTTCTGTTTCTTCATTGTTTGCCCGTAAACAGCACATTTCTTCCGTCGAGTTCCTTTCAGCTGTCAGCTGAGCTCACGATCCTTTCTTGTTTGCAGGCTGCTCCAAAGTTTACACAAAGAGTTCTCATCTGAAGGCACACCAAAGGACGCACACGGGTAAGAAAACACTTTGCCGTGGGATTAACTCGAAGTGGGGGGGTTTCTGCCATAATTGCTCTAGGCTATCGTCTATGTGATGAGTGCATGTTTCAGCTACAACTACTCACAGTTCAGTCAGTGACGATTCCACAATGTTAAACCTCAGGAACCTTCCCCCGGAACGAAGAACCTTTAGAGGAACCCGTTCAGGGACCAGGATCTGAATTGATTTCACGGCACAAAAGTCAGTTGAGTCAGTCGAGGGATTTTGAGCCCAACCAAAAGCTCAAACTCACCTGCTGCCTTGTGAAATCACATTCATAAACTTGTTCCTTTCAAACTAATCCTCGGTGGAACCGTTGAGCTCAGAGCGCCGTTGGTTTGGAGTTATTTATTGTTTTATATTCCATATTTTGTCACATTGCCAGTTTCGATACACCCAGTAACTAAAACACAACACAATGAAAAGTAAAAAAAAAACACGGCGGCTAAAGAGTTTTCACATGCTCATACCTGTCCGCTGAGCTTCCCCATAGAGAGAGAACAAAGAGCGAGGGAGGAGGGGAGGATGAAGGATGAGTGGGGGGGGGAGAAGAGGGAATATGTGCTGTTAAAACAAAGGCCAAACCAGTTACTCCTGCTTTTCAGAGGATATTGGAGGAGGAAGGTAAGACGGGTGTAGAATGGGGGGAAGGTTTCCATGTGTTTCCCACCTGTAAGATGAAACCTGTGGACTCCCGGCAGCGTCAGACCTGGCTTTTGGACATTTACTCATGCGATAAAAGACGTAGTGAGATAACAGACCGAACGCGTGAATGAGAAACAGGTCTATTGTCATAAATTGATATGGTGAAGCTTTATGGATCCCAGTGGGGAAGTTCGGTTGATGCAACAGGGTACAAATATGCAGTGAGAAAAAAACAAAGTAAAAGAAAGACAGGGGACAATAGTGGAGGAGTATCGTGTAAGTCAACCAGCACATGGGTACCAAGGTTTGAATATTATGCAGTACTAATTAATTAAATTAAAACTTGAACGAAATGAATCAAACTGATCTTCTGTTCCTCGTGGACATTTGTGTTCTGTATGTTGCGTTACACCACCATGCGGTCATGTAATGTTTGTTTCTCACGATCGACATTGTTGATATGAGTGAGCGCAGGAGTTGTGCAATCTTGTGGTTACTGTTGCTCTAAAGTGGCTCATCTTGTGTCCCTCAAACAGACACTTCCCTGTCGATAAGGCCTACTTACCTCTTCCCTGTGGAGGCCCTCAGGGTTCTGTCCTGGGACCCTTTTTTATTTTCAATCTGTGTGCTTCCGCCAGAACCAATTCTCCGTAGTCCTTTTGAAAAGAAGTCCAGTACTGCATCGACTTTAGTCATTTATTTATTCTATTAGCCAGTTGAATTTCAACAGTTCATCAATGTCGCAGCTCTCCACAGAAGCTGTAATCAACCGTCTGCATCGACCGTCTGTCATGCAGACGATCTGAAATGTGGTGGAGCATCAGCCCTCATTTATGTTGGTAACATCTCACTGCAAGTGAGGTATTGCTTTTCATTGCTTAAGGCCATAGTGTCAGGAAGTTGTGTGCATGTGCGTGTGTTTGTGCGTGTGTGTACTTCAACAAGTATCACTTTCCTTTTCTTCACTAAAGGTAACCTACTTTTTGAAATCATTGTAGAACGATGTCATCTATTCACAAGGTTTTTTCCTACGAAAGCAAGTCATGCTGACTGCCGGTCCCGAGACAACTAGATGTTTTTCTCCCGTTTTGGGTATACATAATATATATTTGTATATATAAACCTTCCTGTGTAGATATTTTGTTGGCCGTGAGCCCGTCAAAAGCTCTTCTTACTTGTTTTAGTTTTCACGCAGGTTACGTCGACTTTGATTTGGTGTCAACGCGTCGTTGCTCACCGCGCGTTGCTAACGGGGTAAAAGTGTGCAAAGCGGGACTTTGTTTCTGCGTGACGCGCGCCGGCCCACTCACCGTGTACCCTGCGCGCGGCGGTTAGAAGCATGAGCCACCTGTCGGCGTGCATGTGATGGGAGTCCATCGCTATCTGTGGTCAGAGGGGGCAACCTTGGCCGTGGACTCGGCAGCCATTCAAGCTTGGCTTTTGTGTGTTTGTGTGTGTGTGTGTGTGTACATATATGCGTAAAGTCTATAGCGCTATCAGCCTGATTAGGGAACCCTCCAGCCCTCTTCACAAACACTAACCGAGCTGATAAAGCTAAGAGGCCCACAAAGAGTTTATGGGCGTCCCGGAGCGCTTGAGGGTGTTTGCTCTCCGACTCAGTAAAGACGAGATGCCTGTAAGCAGTTATCGTCATACTTTTGTATCCAAGTAGCCTGTGAGTATCCATGTGGGATGTTTCATGTTTAATATTCTTTTCACTCTGATTTTCCCTCTGAAATATATTGATATTGTGATATTTTTGCCATACTGCCGACTGGCACAATATGAGAACGGATCCCAGCAGTGTGCAACCACAACGTTCACCCACCATAAAAGTACTTTGCTGCGCGTCAGTAAAAGAAAAAGCACCATTATGTCAAAGACAAAGTGTGTATTTTATGACTGCTGATTGAAAGTCCATTCAGGAGTCATCATGAGGCTCCTTTTTTCCATTTCTCTTATTCATTTTAGCCTTCGGTAACGCGGCAGTTCCTTCAGGTTTTGCCTCTTCATAAACATCTGACTTGAACCTCACTTTATTTTTATTTTAAGGTCAGCGAGCAGAGGAGAAGTTACACATTTTTCATGCAGCAGAGTGAATTGGACGTCCTCACAAAGGCCCCATCAGCGTGTAACAAAAGCTCTTTTTGTCCCCACAGTGATGGATGTGCTGTTACACTCCATGTACTTTTAAATGTGTGTGTTTTGCTTTGTGTGTGTTGTGCAAGAGAGCGAGCGAGAGGGAGAGAGAGAGGCCGTGTTTGTCCATTACGGGTCCCGACGTATTCAATAACTCATTAGTGCTCATGTGTGTTTGCGGAAGAGAGAATCAGCCACCTGATCAAACCGCCGATGTCTGTAAAGGCTTTTGAGCCCCGATGGCCTTTTAGCTTCAGAGGAGACGTGTCGAGAAATGAGGAAAATCATCCTTCAAATAGCAAAGACTGATTCATCCATAAGAGGTTTAAAAGGTCCGTGCAGACTTTTCCAAAAATAAACTTATTCCAACAATCCTTAAGCAATAGTTCTTCTTTTAGAATGAAGGAAGGGGAGGGGGGGTGTTTAGATGGGTGAGGGGCAGCGCTCTCCCTCCCCTCCTGGCAGCTTGTTTAGGAATACACACCACTCAAGTGTGTTTGTTCTGTTTGTGTGTGTGTGTGTGTGTGTGTGTGTGTGTGTGTCGTGTTTCCTCTGGGATAATAGTCTGTGCTTTTGACCCCGACAGCGCAGCTATAGAGCAAAACCAAACACACCTGCGGCTCGAGAGCCTCGGCCTCTTTATATGGAGACATATGTACTCCACACGCACACACACACACACACACACACACGCACACGCACACACTAGGAACTACAGAAACAGGATATCTACCTCCGATGTTTGCAGTTTACAAGCTCGTTGGATTCAAAAAGTCTTCTCGTTTGTTAAGAATCACTTTTAATGTTTGCTGGAATTTTAGAAAAGTTATAACATTATGCAATATATCCACTTTTTTTTTTCTTCTTTCATTCTTCTTATCAGTTGCCCCCCCGTCTCCCCCCTTTGCTCTGTGGACCCCCAGTGCTCCGCTAATGGCCGTCACTGGGTGACTGATGGTCAATAGCAGCGTCTATCTAATCAGCGCTAACGAGGCCCGAGCTGCTAACGAGCACTTGATGACCCGAGCGGCCAAACTCCCTCAGCGCCGGGCCGGTAAAAGAGTTTCCCTCCGGGACTTTCACGCCTTTATGGAGCCACTACGTGTTGTGCGTCAATGCGAGCAACCACAGGACGACAAAAAGGGCTTGAAATGAGCGGTTTAGATATTTTCATTTTTTAATCTTCTTCCAGACTGGTGGAGCCATTTATTCCACTTCTCGGTATATTTATGTTTGTAGTTTTCTCCTAATTTAATCCAAAGTTGTCAACAGGTTACACATAAAATTCCAAAAAACAAAAAAAAAGTGTAATGTTTCCCCTTGAGCATCTGAAAACAAAAAGACTAATCAACAGAAAACATGCTTCTTTAAAAATATGGAGGACATTTAGTCGCCTCACCAGATAAATAAATATATTGACAAATAAATAAATAAAATAAAATAAATAAATATTTATTTATAAATAAATAAAATAAAAATAAGAGATAAATAAAAGTCCTCTTTGGAAAACAAAGCAATCGTGGCCATGAAGAATGTCCCTTTGTGCATAATAACGCCGTTAGCATGAACGAGAGAAAAAGGCGCGCAGATTTGACAAATAACGGAATCTACATATTTCTCAGTGGGCCGCACACTATCTTCATCCGACCAGTCGCCTTTTCACAACATCGATATTCTACTCTCGGCTCCGTGTTCATCCAGAATTCACAGGTTCATTGTCACCTGACTGCTGGCGGCTGTTCTTCAATAACACAAGTCTGTTTAGTCCTGCGCGCTGCGACTCTTTAAATGAACCTGCAGACGCACCGAAAACAGGTCTTCTGCTTCTTCCTCCTCGCGGGGTTCCCGCTGCAATTTTGTGTAATCTTCCATTTACTAAAAGGATTTACACACACACACACACAGTCATGGTTGTGAAGATAAAGGTGTGTTTGGTAACCACAAACGCACACAGCGATTACAGCTGTCGGCTCCTCACAGACGCAGGAATTTAATAACAAAGCAGTGTGTTAATTAGTCGAGATTTTGCGGCTGGAACGCTCTTTGATTCATGAAGAAAGCAAACGACTCCTCTATTAAAATTAAAAGACATTTTCTGTAGTTGTTGAGCCCGTCGTCTCCAACGTGACCTCCTCGCGATCTCTATCTCGCCGTTCAGCCTCATGGAAACGAGTGTTTACCAGAGGGAGAACCCGTGAAAACCGCAATCTCCCTCGCCCACGCTGCCAACTGCCACCCAGCTCATTGCAAAACATGGTGTGTTTGTGTGTCTGTGTGCGTGCGTGCGCACACGCCCTCCCTTGCCCACACTTTACTGTGAAAGGAGGTTTTACTGGTGAGATTAGGGGCCGTGATGGCATCACCACTTGAGTCCAGCAGGTGAAAGAGGAAGCCGTGACTCATCCGAGTGACTAAATTCAAAATATACAGGGATGAGTTATTATGAATGAATTGCTTTCTGCACGTCGAATGTCAGTGTTCAGTCATTAGTCTGTGAGCGGCTCACAAAGCGAGAGTGCTAATTTTGTGTAACGATGTAAAGCATTGCAGACGTGAGGCTCATGCATTTCCCTTCTCCTTGCAGGCGAGAAGCCGTACCGCTGCACGTGGGAGAGCTGCGACTGGCGCTTCGCCCGATCGGACGAGCTCACCAGACACTACCGGAAACACACCGGGGCCAAGCCCTTCAAGTGCGTCGCCTGCAGCCGCTGCTTCTCGCGCTCCGACCACTTGGCCCTGCACATGAAGCGTCACCAGAATTAACACGCCACACACACACACACGCACACGCACACACCTGAACTGAGCTCACGCGGTACCAAAATCATCCCTGCGTGCTCAACGATGACAGTCAAACAAGTAACGGGGTCCGAAGGGAAAAAAGAATGAAAGCTGAATACTATACACAGTTTTCTGAAGCCTTAACTCGATCTAGCAGGAACTCAGAGATGATTTTGGTGTCTGTTGAGTTGAAAAACATGTACAAAGCGTATGAAAAAAACACTTCACACACACACAATTGACAATACTTTCTACAAATATCGGCCATCTGCCCCTGTGGACGCCAGCCTCCTTCTGATGTAATCGTGGAAACTCCTGTGAACCTGCAACCGCCTTCGTCGTCGCCGCCGTCGACAGCGTCACCATCACTGCCACCATCTTTTCTCAGATCGTCTGAACCTTCAGGGTGGAGATGATCCGTCCCTCCGTCGCGAAAACCTGTTCGCATACGCGTGTGTCTGAGAACACCAAGAATCTTATTGAGATCTATACTTGACCACCTTTTCTTTCTTTTCTTTTTTTTACATGAAATGTTCACATGAGTAATGTTCCTTGTTGAATCCCCCTTTGAGAGCCTTCAGAGAAGAAGAAAAGAAGAGCTCCCCGTGGAAAAGTTAATAAGGGCCTAGTTATGCTTGTTTCAGCACAGGTAATACCAGTCAGGCTCAGAGAGCGGAGGGATTCGCCAATGTTTGTATCCACGGCTCCACCTGTCGCCACGGCAACCGAGCTCCTCTGACGACAGTTTGCGGTTTGCTCGCCGCTTCTATTCAGCGCGGGGACGGCGTGTACCGGTTTCTTTCTCTCTCTCTCTTCTCCTGTAATTTGTTCGACAACTGGAGAACGGCGGAGGTGGGCGGAGGTACCTGTTGTGTAACGGAGATTAACGCGCGTTGCGGCAGGTAAATCGCACTTCTCACGGAGCCGGAGTCCGGCCCCTGGGCCGCGTGGAGGAGAGATCAACGGCGTTCGTCAGCACTTGTGGCTCCTGCGTTCTTCCAGGGGTTTGAATATATATATATATATATATATATATTATTCTATATTTTTGAAGTTGTGCAGTGCCGTAGGACCTTAAGTGTCTTCCATGGGAGCTTGTGCGATGATCAATGAACAAAAAAAAAAAGTGAATTCTTCTCATCTGTTCTCAACACTGTTTCTAGCACTTTGAAAAAAGCTTTGTGTTATTGTCACGTCTAGAAATGTGTCCAAACATCCTGTTATTTCAACGCTACGATTGTTTTAATTCCTTCTTCCCAAAGAAACAAGTTCTCCGGCGTCTCTCCAGGAGCGAGCGCTGACCACCCACTGTGTACATAACTGTAGTTGAAGTCTCAACAGGAGACTTTGTAAATATGTTTGTGTTTATTTCCTATTATAATATTAATATTTCTTTCTTTTTTTTTTTTTTACTGATGGGATTTTAGATCGGTTGTATGTGAATGCTTGTTAATTTGTTTTGATACTCGTGTGTGAAAGATTTTATCGGTTTATGTACAAGTTCATAACGATACTTTTTTTGTTTGTGCAAGATGCTGCAATGAAATACAATACAAAATAAAGGATTAACTAAAAACAACAGAAAGCGGCTCCGCTTGATCACAGCAAATGTTTCCTCCCGATTCCTCCCCATCCATGTGAAGCTCCGATAAACACGCCTCATCTTGTACAACTCGGCCACGTGACTTCGGCTTACATCGAACCATCAGCAGGAGAAAAGCTGTTCCTGTGGAACATCTGGGAAGAAGTCGCTTGAGTTGAATGCTCGCTGAAAACCCCTTGAAACAACCGCGAAACCGTCATTCTTAGAAAATAAGAAGGTTCCATTGGATTTGGTTGCTTCCTCGTGTGAAACTTTGAACATCAGAATGTGTGAACGGAAGCACCGCTAGCGTCAGATGTTTGTTGGAATTTATTGGCGTCAGAGTTCACCTGTTAATTGCGAGAGACGAGTCAAACATTTGCTACTTTTCCTCACATTCAATTCTCTTCAGCAAACATGATTTTTTTTTTTTTTTTTTTTTTTTTTTTCTTCTCTGCATTTCTGCGATAACGTCTCAGGTGAGGAGATAGTGGATCGGGTCAAACATTAAAAACAAGATATCCAATGCATTTGACCAAACAATAAAGCAGAGTTAATCATTCCCCTGCATCGGCCGTTTTGAGCCGTTACAACACGTCGGACGTACCTGATTGTCTCTGCGTGACGTGGCAGGTGAAAGGTAACCCCCTCCAGCGGTGACACAAAAGAACCTACCGGTTCGAAGGAGGTGGGCGAGTGACGTCAACAACGAAGCCTGAAGAATAAGCTGGAGCATAAAAGGCATGAAAGCAGAAAGGGTGGAGTCCGTTGCTGTGTTTTTGCTGGCAGAGAATGTAATCGTTACGTTTGGAGTCACTCTCGGGGACGACGCCCTGTATGTCAACGCGTGGCGTGCCATGCCGGGGTGCCAGCGCCTTTCATCTGCATGTCATGAAGCGCCGACAAACGTTTGCTGCAAAGTCCAACTGGCATCCGATGTTCCCCAGAGTTCCCCGAGGTACTGAAGGCGTCGCATGAAGTAGATCAGTTCTGTGTCCCACAATGCAACACGTTATGGTTATAAAGACAAGGACCAAACAATTGCAGTTTAGAATGTCCTCTCTGTATTTCATCACTAAATTCACTTCTGAGGGAAATCAACTTTTTGTAGATTTATTATTACGGGGGGGGGCAGTTATGTGAAAACTTTTGGGGGGGGATTTGCAAAAAAACTTGACTTTTCGCATTACATTTAAAAAAAATAAAAAATAAAATAATTTTCGACCAAACACATTTAGATTTTTCTTTTGATTTTTTTATGTTTTTCAACCTAACCAACAACAATTTTTTCGAAAAATATTTTTGTGCTTTTATTTCATTACATTATTTCTATATTTTGGCCTGGCAGGCCCGGTCAGGACGGAGGTAAGCAGAATGTGACAGGCTTAAATGGTGAGTGGCTGATGAGGGGATGCAGAGGTGTGCAGGTGAGAAGGCAGAGGAGAACCAGGTGAGGGTAATGAGCTGATGATGTGGTGGGATTATTATTCCCATGATATTTTCGAGCTAACACGTTTTGACTTTTTTTCATAACGTTTTTTTTCAAAAAAAAATTTGACCTAATATTTTTTGTCACGTGACATAATTAGACTTTTTTTTTTTTCAAATATTTTTTGACATATTTTTTTTTTTTCGTTTCCAAGACATTTTTTCACTACATATTTTTTTACTCTCAGGGTTTTGCGTACTTGAGGCTTCTCCTGACACAGTCTGTTCCCCTGCACTTACCAAGATGAGTCACCCACTAAATCTGCAGGCGTTTTAATTTCTTTGGCCTCGACGTTGTGAATGTTCACCTCAGGGCCTGAAGCTTGCTGCTCATTCCACAGTCACAGCAGTAAAACGCCTGTTAAAACTTGTTAAAACTAAGTATTTGCAGCACTCTGCGGAGTTACATATCTCTCTGAGAGATATAAAACAGCCTCTGGTGTGGATCATTTGCGTTTAAACAATTTGTTTTAACACAAATCAACATTCAGTTTTCCGAAATGTTCTGAACTCATCTAGTCGCTCATCTCTCGACACTTCTTGATGCCTCTTTATGTGTTTACTCAAACACAATCTGCATCTATTCTATATTCATATTCTTTTTACTCCCCGTTTGTTACATCATCATTTAACTTTGCTGCCATGTCGCCCATTGTAATGGAGACTCTCTTAATTGGTTTTACTCGAGGAATGATCATGTGACTTGTTTGGCGGAGGCCAGCAGTGGAAATGTGAGAGTTGGAGATTGTTGTGTTTGTTGTGTCAGAACCGACAGAAATAGAAGCTTTTCGGGAGCAACGCATGAACGTTTATGGAGGTCTGCTGACGGAGAGCCTGGGACCATTTCGAAAAATTGTCCTCCTTAACAACGTGAACGTGAGATAAAAGGGTCCAGGTTAAAGTTACGTCATCTGGTACATACCCATCTGCAAATGATGGAATCTGATCAGTTCCCGAGGGGTTTGATTCTGTTATGATTTAAGTTAATTCCGCTTCAGGTCCCAGCTCGTGTGCTGCCTGTCTTGATGGAACTTTCTTGCGCAGAAACACCCAGAAGCGACAGTGATGATGAAAACTACTTAGATCCTCCGTCTCGGTCGGGCCATTGAAGGCGGGGGGGGGATCCTTTTGTCGACGTGGTCAAACCGGTACGGCTGCAGAGGCGTTGTGCGTAAACCCGTTAACAGTGAGGACACGTTGCCGTGCCCAGCTGACGCATGGCGGGATGGAAAAGGGAAAAGCGGGCCAACCGAGCTGTCAACGCAACCCTGAGCGCCTGCAGAGGATCACGCGGGGATCAACTGGATTATTAGCAGATCGACAAAGAGCTGCTCGGGCAGCACCACAGAAAGTGTGTGCATGAAAACGAGCAGTGTGCTACGACAGAAAGGCCTTTTCCTCTCCGAGACAAAGCGTCACGGCTCCCTCCCGATTGACCAGGAGGACTCGCTTTGTCGAATGAACTAAGTGACTTATTTGAAATAAATAGAAAAAACAGTTTCAGCGTCTTGAAGCTTCATGCCTCTTGTACTGAAAAGATAACAGACGCCAACGGGGGACAATTTGTTAACCATTTGTTAAACGATGCACTGAGAAGCACGGATGTTGAGTTTTCTTTGGTACTAAAAGTAATCCAGTGATAGTTCTCTGTGTATCCATAGTAGCGGCGCAAAATATATATACACATATATAGTAAATAGTAATATTGTCATGGTGGAACAGTGTCAGTGTCACAGCCGACTCTCCCAACATCACTGACAACACGATCCTGTAGATACTCGCCCTACATACTGATACAGGTACTGATTCAGGCTCTTGTCATCTCCCTCTTGGACTACTGGAACTCTCTCCTACAGGTCTCCTGGTACCTCCATTCCACCTCTGCAGCTCCTTCCTAAGTTCTCCCACACTCCTCCGCTCTCTTCATCCAGTTCTAAACACTGGTGCTCACGTACCACGCTGTGAATGGATCAGGTCCAGCTTACATCCAGGACCTGGTCCAACCCGACATCCGACCCGCACTCTCCGCTCTGCATGTGATAAACTGCTTGTTCCTCCTCACTGAGAGCAAAACACTCGACTAGATCTCCACTCTCTGCTGTCCTGCTCCTAAATGGTGGAAGGAGGTCTCTGAAGACACCAGGACCACGGAGAGCCTTCACATCTTCAGACTAAAGACACACCTCTTCAGACTCTACCTCCACTAACACACTAACTAACTGTAGCACTTACATTGGACTTATAACGCCGCTCATCTATAGCAAATTGGCTTATTTGATGAAATTGCACTTTCGTCACTTGTTTCTTGTTCTGTTTCCTTGTGGTTTAATGCACTTATTGTACGTCCCTTTGGATAAAAGCGTCAGCTAAATGACGTAATGTAACGCAATCAATTTGCGGATTGGGACATTTTTTTTGTCTGTCTTTTGCAATTTCTGCTTCTTCTTCCACTGTTGTTTCCTGATGGATTACAGGCATGCGCGGAGCCTCCGGCGCCCTCCTGTGACCACGCTGCAGGTCGCTCTGACGGAAGCGCGCTCCATGCCCACCGCGGGGAGGTTTGAGACCCGCCCCGAACCCTCCCTGAGCCCCCCTGAGTCACACGGACGTTTGCACAATCGTAGTAAACCCAGATTTGCACGTGGTCGTAAATGAGTCCACTGGTGTTCCTCTGGAGTGTGGAACCATATCCTGCTCTTAAACCCTGCACAAACATCACGTCTCCTCGGACTCTCTCCGCTCAACCAGCAGCTCTTCTTGCTGCGTGCCGAAGCTCTCCTTCTTTATTGCGTTTATGTGGTGTGTGTCTGTGACGCCGCGTTAATGATCGGCCTGATCGGCCCATAAAACACAGCAGAGAAACAGACACACACGTACAAAAATACGTCTTTATGACGGTGTTCATACACTTCATGACGTGCGCCTTTTATTCATTGACCTGGTTTTGATCTCGGGTGTTCTTCTGCGGTCCGACTCACAAATGTGGTGTTCGTCCGTGTCAACACTTTACCACCAACATTATTATTTTAATATTCCTAGGAGGTTTTAGCTTTTGCTCCCCACGGGCGTTCTTCCAGAACTTGTCCTCCTCATCATTTGTCCCAGGGCTCCCTCTTCTGGAGACATCTCGACCTCCGGAGTGTGTCAGGCTACATTGAGGCTGGATTTCGAATTGTCCCGAAGGTCACGGGGTGAAGGAAGGTTGGTTGGAAGAATTCGTGAGGAGGAGGAAAAGACGGCCGCGGTGTTTAGATGAGTTGCGCTAACGGTTACGGACGAATGATACACAACTATTTAAATATTGATTCGTTGCAATTGTGGGACAGAATTACCTGCTTTCCTTTTGTGGAGGATGGTCCGGTGGTTCCTATGCTGGCGCTAAGTAGGGTTTAGCCTTAGAGAATTCGAAAAGCTCCCATCATGGCGGCCACTTGCACTTCTTCCGGGTCATTTGACTCAGCTAGGAACCTTCCTCAGCAAATTTGACTATTGTAATCCATCCAATCAGTGAGCTGCTGGGACGACATGTGCCCCAAAACGCTTCATAAATACAGCTTCAGCCATTCCGATCGAATGTCCCTTTACAAATATAGAAATTGACTTAAATTGACATTAGCATTAAATTGTCTGTAATTGTAAAAGTTTTCATATTTTTATATAAATACCATATAAATTCTCTCTGCAGTCTCCGGCACAGAGTGCGACCCCCCCAGGGGACTTTTTAGGAATAGCAGCTACTTTTATAGAAATGCAATTTACGTCTTTCTGTAATTCTCACAAGAGTCATCCGGCGGGCCGCAGTGGACCCCCCCCCCACACCCCCCCGGGGGGCCGGATTCAGTGGTTCACACTGTTAAACAAAATAAATATAAATAAACCGTGTTATTTATAACACGGATCTACTGGATTAGACAGATTATAAGAAACACCAGGCGTTAAATTGCACCAAAAACATGTTTTATTCTATAAAATGAAGAAGGGAGGAAGGGGCAAATAATCACAACTGTACAGGGGGAAACTTACTTTTAAACACTATGAGTCACAGTATCAAAAAGCTCATGTTTTCCTCACTGATCTTTACACATTTGTTCTGTACAAATACAAAAAAAAACAAAAATATTATTAATAATTGTATTATTATAACGATAACTGCATTGCACTGAGTAAATATAGTACTGGCCCATAAGTTACTGCATTCAATAGAAAATACCTAAAATTTCTGAATTTGCAGAGGTGAGTCGAGACGGTCAGTGACGTCACCGCCCGGCTCCCCGCGGGGATCGAGCGTTCCACTGTCCGTCTGTCGGTCTGTTCGCTTCACGCATCAACAGAACATCAAGAAGAATACCGAGGGAAAACACGCGTGCACCGGCCGCGAAAAGAACGAAGCGGGAAGCGGGGAAAAGCACAAAAAAAGAAAGACAGAAACACGTGCGTCGGTCTCCCTGCGACACCTCCGGCAACAGGAACCCGACCCTCGTCCCGGGGGCCGAAAAGCGTGTAAAATACCGGTTTTTGCTGCTCATCAGTGTGCTTGTGAAGCGATAATCATCACCATCAGGTTCACGAAGACCCACACGTTGAGCCACGTGGGTGAATAAAGGGGGTCAATTAAATGCTAACCTTTCATTTCATGTTGAATTATTGCAGAAAAGGATCTGTCAAACAAACGCAGAGGATATTTCCACGTTTCGTTTGTTTGTGAAGATTTTCACTGATGAACGTTTGAAGTGTGAAATCAAAAGGTTAACGTCTATAAAGCAGCTCTGCCTTATAAGCAAAAAAACAAGCGAACCAGAAGCGTGAAAAAGGCTGAATGGTGTCCTGCTTTTAGGACTCGTTCCTGCAGCTCTATTGACAGGTTGGATATGTTCATGAAATATGACTTTTCAAACAATCATATGCAAAATAACCACTAACATTTTCTGAATCTTGAGTATGAAAACGTTTTTTTTTTTCACCTAAAACCAACAAAATCTTAACATTTCACTCTTTTTTTTTTTTGGAGATATTTAAAACGAGGTCCAGTACAGAAACATCAAGCTCTGTCTTCAATAATAAATGGGTCATTAATTGATCAGTTTTTCTCCCCCTCGGGTCGTCAATGTTAACACAGTCTCAAACACGCTGACATGCTCACCAACGCCACAGGTAGAAAACGAGAAGGCTACGCTCCATGCAACACGTGTGCACAACACCAGCGGGACCAATTCTTTTTTGTTTTTTAGGAATCTCCGGACCAAGTGCTTCTTTGGTTGGGACCAGACCCACCACAGATGGGACCCCTTTTCCTCGGCCCACCAGGGGAGGAGGAGGAGGAGGAAGAAGGGAAAACCGTTTTTTTCACTTTTTCTAGCCGTGTTAAAAAAGAGAAATCCCCCCGTAACATTTCCTCGCGCTTTTCGGTTTATATACTTTAATATACAGGAATTTATCTTAATTATCTGTCATTGTCTTTAATGTCTTTATCAACAGTTTACAAAAGAAAGAAAATTGCAATCAAATGCATATACTCTTCTAGAAAGATGTGCTTAGTAACAATGTTTCTTTTGTTTTTGAAGCAGGGGGGGGGGGGGGCTTTGCTTTATCAGCTCTGCAAAAAAATAAAAACATCCCTTCGAACCGGACGAGCTCGGGGGACTTTTTGTTGTTTTAGCGTACAGAATAAAACCTCGTGGTGTGTGTGGGGGGTGAGGGGGGGGTCAGGGGGGGTCTCCTGTCCAGGCTTCTAGGCCTCCGGAGGCTCTTTTGTGAGCTGCGGATCAGCAGTGGACCACTGCAGAGGTCAGAAGAGGTCTGCGTTATGTTGCATATTCAAGTTCATCCCAGAAGAGGAGCACGAGGGGGGGTGTCGGGGGGGGTGTCGGGGGGCTTCTTTCAGCATCTTTCAGCAGAAGGCAGACGTTAAGGAGAGAGTTTTAGGACCGCTGAGCGACTTTATTCGGGAGCAGTTTGTTGAGGCGTTAAATTTCAGTTCTGAAAAAAAAACTCTGGATGCAGCTGGGCGAGAAATGGAACCGCAGCCCCCCCCCCGATCCCTCCCCCGGACCCCCCCCTCGGTAGAAATGCCTGGTGAGAATAATGCTTACCTTTCCGTGTGTTTTAATAGGGCGGGCACTCAGGCCCCCCCAATATAAATCCCTGATCCTTCCCACACTCTCCACCAGAGGCCCATGTGGCCTTTTGTTCCCCCGCAAGGGGGGGGGGGGGGGGGGGGCGGCTGTGCTTTCTGCTGATTGGATTCATTTGTGTGAAACGAGAGAGTCGCTGCTTCCACTATTAAGGGACAGCATTTCCTTCACTTGTATCATTCTTTGTCTTTCTTTTGTCAAACAGCTAAAAAAGAACCAAAACATCTGCAGCCAAGTTTCTACTTTCCCCCAAATAAACCTCCAGCTTCTCAAACAAGTGACGCACACTTCCTGGTTTGGTTTGAAAACAGTAAAAGCAACGCGAGCGTTCGAGTAACGGCGAGTCGTTTCTACGGGAAGCAATGCGAGGACACGAGGCTCTGCGCTCGGCGGAGGTCAAAAGGTCGCCGATTGGCGGCGCCGGTTTCGCCCTTACAGATAATTCAGTTATTAAGGCTCGACGGGCAACAGGTAAAAACAACAAGTGCCCGGAACACACACACACACACTCGTAAAAGTCTTAAATCGTGATTGTGTGTTTGGTCTCAAAATAACGCACAAACACAAGAACGACGCACACGGAAACACACACTGAAAAGCTTCGCCTTCGTCTCTGCGCCGCGGCCTCAGCGGTTTGTGTCCTAAAGACAAAGGGTTTTTTTTTAAGGATGCCGGGAGGAGAGAAACAAAGACTGAAGCAGCAACGATGACGCACACAAAGCAAATACTGTTATCGAGGGGAGGGGGGCCGGGGGTCGGGGGTCGGGGGGCATGGAAACAGCAATAGTTGATACAATAAAACCAAAATGCATCTTTATAAAGTTCACAGTCTTGTAGCTCCCTGTAGCAGGACGGGTGGGGGGGCAAGTTAATCGACTTTTACATCTCCAATGTTTTTGCCGAAGAGGAAATACGTGTTTGACGTCACTTCAGCTGCTGTGAGAAAAGCTCTCACACACACACACACACACACACACACACACACACACACCGGGAGGCCTTTAAAGCAACAAAGCTGTGATTACAAATTTATATCAAGCTGAGCTTTTGGTTTCTTTCAAAGATGTTTTTTTATAAACGAGTGATATGATGTTTTTTTGCATGTGATGGAAAGAAAAGAGCCAAATAAATATTGTTTCCACGTCGGTGGACTGTGATGTCACTAATTACTCCCCGTGCCCCAGAGCGGGGGCATTTCCCCCCGGGGGGGGGGGCGTGAATTGTATTTTAATCATATTTTGTTGTTGTCGTACCCACCCAGATGTTTCCATAGCGTCTTCTTCGCCTCCTCTTTGATCGGATCGCTCCCGACTTAGATCGGTAATTCTGCCGAAGGTGGTGAGAAAGAAAAGGCCAAGTTGTCGTTACTAAAAGCGTTGCTGCTGCTGCTGAGGTGACATTCCCCTTCCGGCCTTAGTTCATGAACCAAAGGCGCACGCCGCTGCTCCTCTTCCTTTCCGCTCCTTCGGATGGATGCAGGTGATGGATGGATGGATGGATGGGGGGGTCCGGGGGAGGAGACGAGGGGGAGGAGGCGCTGTTGGATGGACGGCCGTGACGATGATGGTGGCGAGTTGAAACACACAGTAAATCCTCCCCCGTGCACACGCACACAAACCTGATGTTCCTGTGATTTCTATATGAGGAGGAGGAGGAGGAGGAAGCAGGTACGTTGTCCTTTTATATCGGCTGCAGGGGTCACTGGTACAAGAGGTCCTGTGGGGGCTTTCAAAGGTCAGAGGTTGACGGGGGGAGCTGTCGGTGTTCGTGGTGGGCGGGGGGGTCAGAGTTCACATCATGACGTGGCGGCGGCGGTGCAGGGAGAGGTGGTCGGACCGGGAGAAGGAGCGGTCGCACTCGGTGCAGCGGAAAGGTTTGATGCCGGTGTGCTTGCGGAAATGCCGGGTCAGCTCGTCGGAGCGGGCGAAGCGCCAGGTGCAGCCCTCCCAGGTGCAGTGGTAGGGTTTCTCTCCTGGAGGAGACAAGGAGACAAGGAGACGGGTTAAGTGGGGGAGGATAGGAGGAAGGGATGCAGGTGGTTGTTTTTCTACCAGGGGAGCCGCTCACGGCACAAACGGGATCGCCGGCTTGGGGAGCGCGCGGGCGGGCGCAGCTGCTCCACCTGCGCCTGTTTGAGGGGCCTCACCTGTGTGTATCCTCCGGTGCGCTTTGAGGTGGGAGCTCTTGGTGTAAACCTTTTTACAGCCTTCATAGTCGCACATGTGGATCCGCCTCCTCTTGATGTCCGGGGAATCCGGATCCACGGGCTCCAGGTCCATGACCGACCTGGTGGGACGGAGAAGGGAGGACGGGAGTGAGTGACGCGTGGAGACACTTTAAATGGTCATGGACGCTTTTAACTGCAACTGTCACCGTTAACTTTCTTATGGGTTTATCGCCCGGTATTTTCCTGTGTGACCTACTTAAGTTGTAACGATTAATGTGCATGTGGAGAATAATAAATAAACACGTAAGCAGGCGTGGGAGCGACAGAACGGAGCCACCGGGGGGCGTCGGAGAGCCGTTTTCAACACTGCTGCAGCTTCCACTTCAGCGACAATTCCTTCACATCTCTCGCTTCCATTAGTTATCCTCCTCTTTGCTCTCACCCACAAAAGAGAGGATTTCAACTTAATCCATCCTCATCATTTCACCCCCCCCCCCCCCCCCCCCAAAACGCCGCCTCCCCCCTAGATTAAAGTAATATGCAGATTTGTGTTGTTTTTCATTTTCATAGTGTGAATAATAACGGCAATGATTTTACAAGGAGGCGTGATGACAAACTGCATCACAAAACCATGTTTTACACCCACAGCTCTGGGACAGCCCTGCCCAACACACACACACACACGCACACACACACACACACACACACACACACACACACACACACACACACGCTTCATCACTGAGAACAAATACCCACAAACACACTTATGCACTTTGTTTGTATTTAACATTCTCTCTCTCTTCCCCTCCCTCACACACACACACACACACACACATACTAACACACTCACACACACACAGACACACACACAAGATTACAGCATTAGGTTAACCGCCTAATGTCCACGCCCTGAATGTCAGTTGCAGCCGGGCGGCCTCGCCTACTGGGTGGGGCAAAAGCTCTGTGCTACTGATACACACACACACACACACACACACACACACACACACACACACGTGTGTCCCTGCGATACGTCCCCGGGTGTCTCCGGTGTGTCCTGCTGCACGGTTACATAAGGTTATGTAAGTGTCCAGGCAGCGCTGCAGTAATGTAATTGGGCTGCAGGGGAGGGAGGCGATCCACACAAAGACCGCATCCCCCCCAAAACCCTGCTGCGCATTATCGCCCCCCCCCCCCCCCTCCTGTCAACTCATCATATTATCAAATATCATTCATCATAAGATGAATCATCACGCGTGGTTTATGGCATCAGGGACAAGGCGGAGAAACGACGCCGGCACTCACCCGGCGTCGAGGCTCTGGGCGCTGAGGGAGGCCGAGCCGGACTCCGTGCCGCTCTCTGCGTCGCTGTCGCTCTGGTACTCCACCGGAGACGTCGAACCGGGCTTTATGCGAACTGCGGGGGGGGACACACGGAGAGACGGAAAAAGGACAAATATTCAGAGGGACGGACGAAGGGGGATTGAGAAAGACAAAAGGGAGGAACCGGTGAATGGAGACGGGAAGTGGAGGAAACAGCGGGGGGGTTAATAGCTTCTTAACAGAGATGCCTCGATCCCGGCAACTTAGCAAGACAAAGCCTTGCTCCCAGAGTGCGTCTGTCTGTGTGTGTGTCTTTGTGGGTGTGTGTGTGTGTGTCTTTGTGGGTGTGTGAATTAGGTTCGACGGCTCACATTTGTGGCCGTACCTCATTCTGCATTTTCCTGAACGTCACCTTCGGCGTTCTCAGAAACGCTCTCTTTTCCGTTCGCTCTCGTTCTTTCAGTCTTTCTCGCCCGTCATTGCGACGAGCTTTCAGGGGGGAGGTTCTGAGCATGTGTGGTGTCGCTTTCTGGAGAATACAGCGTGAATTCAAATGTCCCCCTTGACTTCCCCCTTGACGTGCAGAGGGAGCAGGGCCTCTGGACCCCCAGGATCCCCCCCCCCCCTCATACAGGGTTCAATGTTGATCATCACAGAGAACCGTTCGACGCCGGTGATGCTGACTCATTTCTCCCCCCCCCAGCGCCCTCCTCCCCCTTTGATCACTTCACCGCTATCAGAGACAACTCGGCCAAAAGTAAAACGCCACTTGAGCGGACAAAGAACAATCTGTCGAACGGTTAATTATTAGGAATTAAATCCTCCTCCTCCTCCTCCTCCTCCTCTTCCTCGTCCTCTTCCTCTCGATCTCCCTGCAGGAATGTGGCTGTTCAAGGTCCACGCGGCCCGGAGGGAGCGAGGGGGGGGAGGGGGGGGGGCTCTCGGAGGGGTGACGTAACGAATATGGGTGGAGTACTGTGTGTGTGTGAGTGAGTTAATATGGAGAGAGTCACACATGAAGTGGTCTTTGTCTCTGGGGACAAATAGGGACCCCCCGCCCCCCCCTTCCCACCACCACCACTGCAGCTTGTTTATTCAAATGCAAAACAGTCCATCTCAGCTCCTTGACCCTGCAACCTATCCTCCTCATCCTTACCCATCCCTGCACCATACTCACCCCCACCCCCACCTCCACCTCCACCTCACCCCCCCGTCAGTGTGATGCACAGACGCACAAAGGTAAGAAAGGCTGCGTTCTGCGCCGACCTTAAATATGACTCGTCACTTTGTGAGAGCACTGCAACATTAAAATGAAAAGTAGGATAATTCTATAAAAATATTGGAAATACTTTGTCAGGACAACATGTGGGTGTGAAACGGTTAAAGTCCTGTTCGTTAATGATCTCTCTCTCTCTCGCTGCCGTCATCGCACCGCCACCTGCGCCTGGACGCCAGCGGCCGCTGAGCGACTCCGCCCTTTAGCCGTCCTCCTACGCAGGATGGACTCCAACCGGCGAAGGACTGTGCACCATTCGTGGAACATGCATGTGCATGAGGAGCAAAAATAAGGGCGGGGTTGTCTTTGCAGTGGCTGGAGATCTTCTTTTCTGTTGACGCGGGGGTGCAGTTGGGTGGGGTTAAAGGTGCAGCTATGCAGCCTGCTGTTAGTCACTCTTCAGATCCCTGTAACCACCGGCTCACACTCGCTTTCCTTTCGGAGATATCTACCGTACTGCTACTTGAAATGCATGCTGGGAAACGGAGTGATTTCATTGGAGAACGGGCTTTTTGTCAATAGGGGGGGCGGAGTCCTGTTTTGTCCACGATGCCAGACTGAAAAGTTGACAACACCTCCTTTAAACCCGCAGCAGGAAGCTGACGCGACATCTAAATCACGAGGGCGGAGCGTCCAGCGCGGCCGGACGTCGGCCCGCCACGTCTGCTGGCCGGATCGCCAGCGCCGCGCCTCCCCCGTGATCTCAACGGCGCCCTTTCGATCAAAGCGGGCAGCACCTGAAATGAGTTTGACATCGCTGATCTAGATACTCGAATCGGCTGTTGAGACGATGACAGGCGCGAATATTTGTTCCACAACATATGGAATATTTTGACAAGTTTCCTCGTTTTAGACATGACTATCAATCGTTGGCGGGTGGCGTTTCGGGAATAACAAAGACAAGCCGTCGAGTTAAACACGCCACTGTCTCAGTGGAGAGGCGCACCGTGCTCCGGTACGAGTGACAGCTACTGTTAGAGCTTCAAAACAAACATGCAAGTGAGGTCCTACCGCGAAGAAGCTGGAAAGAAAGAAAGATTACGACGAAATATCCCGTTCCGATCACTAGAAATCTCAATAATCTGCGTTCTAACAGAGGAAAGAAAGCTGATGGCCACATGGAGCCCAGTCTACAATCCCACGGTGTCCGACAGGCTTTTTCGGCGCGCCACTCACCGGATCCTTCTGAGCGCCCGTCGCTCCCTATGAGAGGCACGGTAATGGCCGCCGTGGCGACGCCGTCAGTGGACATGGTGGTGTAGACAACGGGCAGAGACTGCACCACCACGGGGATGGTCTGGAGCTGGCCCACCTTGCTGGGCATGCTGACCGAGGGGATGGTGTGGATGACGTGGAGGATCTGCTGGCCCCCGGCACCTTGAGTGGCCAAGATGGAGCCCGGGGAGAGGACCTAGAAGGAAAGATGGCGAGGGGGGTGGGGTCGTGATTAGTTGCCTTGACGCCCTCTCGGAGTTCAGCGTGCCAATGTGGGCGGTCATCGTTACCATGGAGCCGATGGACTGCATGGCAGAGGGGACCGGGGTGGCCGACAGGCCGGGCTGGGTCATGACGCCGCTGGGGGCGGGGTTGACCGCGAGGCCCATGGTGGAGGCGGGGAGCGAGGAGGAGCGCGGCTTGTGGAGCGACAGGTCGACGGGCTCCGTCTGGTCCTCGGCCGGGCGCGGCTCCGGAGAGGACGGCTCCGTCTTGCACGCCGGCTCCGTCTTCACCTTCAGGTCCGTCGGCTGCGAGCAGTCGTCCCCGACGTCGGCCTGCTGGAGGAAGACATGAGAGACGTTTCAGGCAAAGGTCCCCGAAAGAGCAACGACGTCATTGTGATTCTCTGAAACGCAAGTGGACTTCAAGTGTCTCATCCGGCGTTTTTATACGGACGATGTGAAGAACACGGTTCAATACTCGGCTGACATTCAGAATCTCACCACGCCACCGTCGCCTCCATGGTGACGACGGCTGCTGAGGCTCATGGGTAAATGTAGTGTTCAGAGCTATGATGCTCAGAAACACGGCAATAATCACGTTGGTTTGACTTATCGGGGACATGAGCATCAACGTGAGAATTTCTACGGAGGAAAAGTACGACTTGACGTCCTGAATATCCCCGAACTGAAGATGAGTTTGGAAAGTTTGCGTTCCTGTGACCTACGTCGGGTCCTTTTTTAACACAGCCCCCCTAGTTCGCTCGCCTCTGCAGCCACCAAGGGCTCAGCTGCCGTGTAGCTGGAACGCACCGGGAACAATGGCTGCTGTGTGGGACTCACGGGGGGAGGGGGGGAGGGGGGGGGGGGGGGGAGAGAGAGAGGCTGGGTATGGAGAGAGACTGGTACTGATTAGGAGAGAGGGAGTAAAAAGGAAAGAGAGAGAGAGAGAGAGAGTGTGGGGAGAGGGGGGGTGGAGTTGGAGTCCATCCCTTCTTGGACTCCGTCCAGCTCCGGGTGAGGGCGAGCGGGAGGGAGGCTCCGCTACGCCCTTTTATCGGGTCAAACAGTTCAGCTGGAGGCCCCCCCGGGCCGTGTGCAAATATTAAGGGTTGGTTAACCACCCATCTGACCGCCGTTGCACATTGAGCCCGCGGGCCCCAAACGCGGGACGTGCGTGTTCCCGGGACGGTCGGTCAGGGAGAGCGAAGTAAAGCAAAAAGAGGCAGGACCTCGCGCCCCCGACCGGCGTGCGTCTAAGGTCGCTTCTCTTCAACAAGGCCCGCGAACATCAGGCCGGGCTGAGGTGAGGAGGGATTCAAGGAAAGGAGAGAAGGAGCCGCCGACGACACAAAACAAACGAGTGCAGAACCCGGGGGAGGAGGAATTTTTACGGAGAAGGAGGCAGCGAGGGGGCGAAAGGAGGCGAAGAGGGGGGGGGGGTAACAGGGACGCATGGCCGTAACGTGATTATAGACACAGCCAGAAAAACAGAAGAAGAAAAAAAATGAAGTGTGAAAGAAGTGGAGAGAGACAAGAGAGTGTGGGTGGGAAAGGCCTAGTGGTGCCATGGAAAACTGAGAGCTATCAGCTGACTCCATGTTTTTCCACTCGTTCCCCACCCACCAGCAACTCCCTTCCCCTCCCAGTCCGTTCGTCTCTCCGTCCCCCTTCAGTTTCTCTCTCTCTCTCTCCCTCTCTGATGACGGCGACCTTTTCTCACCTTTCTCCCCCCCCACCCACCCCCCTCCAGCATCCCTCGCCCCTCACATCAGCCACACCCCTGTGCCCTCCCACCTCGCCCTCTCGTCCCTCGCCGCCTGCCGCTCTCCACCCAGTCTCCTGTGTTTTTCCACTCTCTGCCCTCGCTCCTCTTTTTTTGCCCCCTTTCCACAGATTAGACGAGCAACTCAAAAATCCCCAAAAGGAGAGGAAGAGGGGGGGAGAAAAGCTGGGCGACCGGCGAGCCAGAATGAGGAAGAAAGATGACGAATTAAAAGGAGAAACTTCTGGGTGGGAAGTAAAAAGCAAATGTAGTCGGATGATTCCATCACAATTTCCCTTTATGTGGATTTCAAGGGGAGGGTAAAAACACAAACTAATAAATATTGATTTAAAACCTCACCAGCTGATCGCTGTCATTAAGATGGTGTCTGAATATGCAAATGAGGCATCATCTAATGGCGACTTTAAGAGAAATAGTCCGGCTCAAATAGAAAAAGTGCAGACGTGATGTGGAAGCTGAACAGACCAACATCTCTGAGTCGGCATCTCCTCAAAGAGCAAAAAGAGGCCAAAATTGAGAGGACGAAGCATATTTTGTGATTAGCGCTGATCCCCGGGTGGCATAAAATAAGTACAGGAGCCGGGACACCTTAAAACAATAAACCCAACGTGTCTGGATGCAACAGGGATAAAAAATAAAAAAAACACCTCAGCCGAGGTACAGACACGTTTCTCGGTTCAACTGCTGCCGCACTAAAATGGGTCACCCAGTCGTCGCCTCGCAATTAATTCATGTGATCCCCGACTTGAATGAAGCGACGAGCGCCGCCGCAGCGGTGAGAAGGACGGGGGGGGGGACGTAATGTGGGAAGAGAAAGAAGTGGACGGATCTGTAGTTGTCGTGCTTTCATCAGAGAGGCGACAGTTAACAGCTGACGCGTAATATGGCCGAATACATGACCGGCGACGCGACCAACCAGCGACGGACAAGACGTCTAATCACTTATTACTCTGTCCATCCAAACCACGGACCAGGTTCGGTTTCAGTACGTGGGCTGTGGTTCCTCCTCCTCCTCCTGAGGAAGGACTTCCTACTGGCGTGCAGAAGGGGAGCAGCTCCTTTCCGTTCATTCAAGCGTGTTTGGGGGGGGAAATAAGTTAAAGTGGATGACCAGGTGCTGCCAGAGGAAACGAGCAACAGACGTTTGCTCCACGTGGGACCAGAAGCCCGGAGTGAGTCCACAGGGGACCCAAACAGCCCTGCGACCGTTGAAGGGGCAGTTTCACAGTGGCATTTATTTTTGGAGGGGGGGGGGGGGGCGTGATGTTAACAAAGTGGG